TCATGTTCCCCTCTATGGTGGTGGGGTGGTCTTACTCGGGACAGATATCTGCGAAGTGTCGTCAAGCTTTTGAAGGTTGTCTTGATGTTATATGGACCGCAGATCCTTTGAATTTTTTCTGATAACCTCTTCACATAAGGCAGGCAGACTGTTTTCTGAGTGTTGTTGTCTTCCTCTTGTACCCGCCTATCCCAGTCTTTTTTGTGTCTTCTGCCATGTACCCAGGATAGTTGTTACGTTGTAGGGTACAACTTATACCGACCAATTCTTTATCAAATGTCTCTGGGTTGACACATGACTTTTGCCCGGTGTTGTAAGCAGCGGACGATCCATTTCTTTACGCTGTATGGATGGTGGGAGTTGAAGTTGAGGTACTGTCCAGTGAATGTCGGTTTACGGTTTACGGATGTCTTGAACCCATGCTCTGTTCGAGATATTAGAACATCCAGGAATGGGAGTGTGTTTTTATTTTCTTTCTCCATCCTGAACTCTATCGAAGGTCTTACAGAATTCACATTGTCAAGTAGAACCTGAACATCTTCCTGGTGTGGCCAGAGTATGAAGGTATCATCTACGTACCTTAATCATAGAGTTGATTTTAGAGATATAGATTCTACTGCCATTTCCTCAAAGTATTCCATTTATATATTCGCCATTGCTGGTGATAATGGCGAGCCCATTGCTACGCCCTCATCCTGTTGATATATGTGAGTGATCCCATTCCGAAGTGTGTTGTTTGTGTACAGAAAGTCAACAACTCCATCAGATTATCTATTGGTATACTGGTTCGTTCTTCTAGGGATGAATCAGAGGTCAATCTGTCTCTGAATACTGAGAGTGCCTCCTCCATGGGTACCTTGGTAAACAAACTCACCACGTCCAAGATCATCATCTTGTTGGATAGGATGAGAGCATCGTTGATTATTTACACGAAGTGGGCAAAGTTCCGGACATATGAAGGAGACTACTATCAATGGGTCAATTATATCTACAAAGAAGCGACTCAGAGGGTGGCACACAGAACCTTGGCAACTAACAATCGGCCTGAGCGGAATACCGTCTTTGTGAATCTTAGGGAGACCGTATATGTGAGGTAGCTTGGTGTAACGCTGCGATAACTGCCTATACGTCTTAGGTGCGAAGTGATCCTTGTTCTTGATTAGGATCTGTGACAGTTTGCGTTCCGTTTTCATTGTAGGATCCTTTTTTTACTTTGCTGTAGCTACTATTGCTAATGAGGTCTTCCAGCTTTCTTGTATAATCTGATCTGTGCATCACTCGCATTACCTTTGTCAGCCGGTTGTATGATGATGTTTTTGTTCCTCTGTAGAGATCCGATTGCCAGCCTCTCCAGTTTCGTGATGTTTGACCTGGGCGGCTTGGCCTTCTCCAAGGTCAGTCTCACCTTCCATCTCAGTTCATCCTCCTGAGCCTTAGGGAAGTTCAAGCACCCCCTACTCGACTCTAGCAATGATGTCCAGGTATAGTACTCGCCACAGGGTTGTGGCGAAGTTGAGACCCTTATTCAATACTGAATCCTCAGAGGTACTCAGCTGATATTTTCTAAGATAGAAATATTAAAAATCAACAATTATAATATTTTAAATATGCATTTATAATATGCATGGATATACACACACACACAAATATATATATATATATATATATATATATATATATATATATATATATATGTGTGTGTGTGTGTGTGTGTGTGTGTGTATTGCTTAAGGATCACAAATAAACGATTAAAAAGGCTTATGTGAAAACCCCGTATGGGATTTGGAGATATTATTGAGTGTTGTTTTTTGTTTTTATTAATTTTGATTCTAATTAATTTTATTTTAATTTTATTAAATTTTATTAATAAAAAAAACAACACTCATTAATATCAACTATGAACATGGATACAATATGTTGGCAGTATTTTGAAAATAAAACATTCTATATTATTAAAAACATACATATAAACAATCTTTTTCCAATATATTTCATCCATGAAAATGGCTAAAAGTATAGCCGAAATCGGTCGGAAAAATATAACATTTGAGCAGTTTTTGTATAATTTATCTACTGGAAAAAAATTATATGAAAAATTATATAAAAAACTTAAAGCACCTTGTCTCTCATATCTAATGAAGCTTATATATATATATATATATATATATATATATATATATATATATATATGTGTGTGTGTGTGTGTGTGTGTGTGTGTGTGTCTGTGTGTGTGAAAAGTGTGTGTATATAGATATAAATATAAATATAAATATAAAATATATGTATAATTATTTATATATTATATGCACGGTACTTATCAGAAAGCGCTCAATATCAGAGATAGAGCTAACAAAAAATTATTTTTTTAAATTAATCAGTTTGTCTGACGATCGCAAAAGCGTGAAACCCAGGGTCACAAACTTACATCAATCCAACTTAATATATATATATATGTGTGTGTGTGTGTGTGTGTGTGTGTGTGTGTGTGTGTGTGTGTCCATATGTACATAAGAGAATGCTTTAAATGTGTACACCGGAAACCGGAAGTGTGACGTGGAGAATGTCAGTGAGATGATGACGCAGCTTTCGTCTGATGGAAAACGAAGGAAGACATTAGAGGAAGTGATCTCATTGTTTAGACGTGTGACCATTTGTTTGTCAGTTTGTGTGGTTGATTCCTCTGGAATGTTTCTGGCAAAAGAAGCGAGAAAGATTGATAGATTTGCTAGATATATTGAAGGCAGGAGAATACAGTGACTCGCCCAGGGATTTAAAATGAAGGGGCAGTCGATGGGAGCTAGACATCTCAGAAAGAAAGGGATTAGAAGTAGTTGTGTGTGGAAGGGAAGAGCGGAGAAGTCGGAGCTAAAAAGACAACAAGCAAAGCACAGGAAGAAAGAGAAAGAAAGAAAAGAAAAAGAAAGAGAAAGAAAGACAACAGAAAGGAAATATAGAATATTAAACCTTAAAATAAAAGAAAGGTAATGAAGATTTATTTTCTACCGATTTATTCGAACTGTTCTTCTCACCTTTGGTTCTTATAGTAAAACAGTTTCAGTCGTTATTCTCTGCGACCATTTCCAGTAGCGGTCAGATTAAAAGTTTTTCGGCATCATGAAGTAGTACGACTGTTCCCCTCATAAAAGAATACCGATATATATCTATATCTATCTATATATATATATATATATATATATATATATATATATATATATATATATATATATAGAAGCGTATAATGCAGGGTGTGGCGGAAATACATCTCATATTTTAAACTTCCACATTTGTGGTAATAATAAAGTTAGGCAAGTAAAAAATCATGTTTTCATCTAGATAATATCTCCCTTTTATTTTCAAGTGCAGTAGAATCCCTGACAACTATACTAAGAAACCCTTCCGGATATGAGGAATTGGTTACAAAGTCCGGATATGAGGAGTTATATCTGGATTTAAATAAAGAAATGAAATCATGTTTAACATTTATTTTCAATGTTTTATCGTAAACAAAAGAAGCTAATGCTGAGTGAAATATAACGGAATTGATTTTAAGGAAAAAGAAATAAATTATGTAATGTTAATGAAAATTCATTAAATTAAATATGCCACGTATGCAAAACAAATAATGCAACGAGGATTTTTTAATCGCTGTTGCATGATGATTCTTTCTCTTCTAATGTCATTCGCAACTTTATCCGTATTTCGTTTTGCTTTTGGTCTTGAAATTTTTTAAACGAAAAACACTTTTAACTCTGCAGGCGTTATTGCAATTTTCATAGCTGAATGCTGGTTTTCTTTCCATAAAACTGATAACCTTTTCAATAGATTTTCCAATTTCAGACCAGTTTCTTCACAATCATGCATCTCGTTGCTATCTTGTTGCAGATTTTTCTCATTGTCATCCTTTCCTCTTATTCCCATCATCTTTTGCGTCAATGCAAGGCATTAGGGTGAAATAAGCATAAGCAATTGTCCTAAGTAAATTTCCTTAAAAAAAAAACAGAAATTTTAAATCAGTTACATATCACCCAAATAGTTCAAATATACACATCAAAATCATGTCCGGATATGCGGGATTCTGGATATGAGGCACTCTGGATATAAGGGATTCCGGATATCAGAGTTTCTTCTGTATCATCAATTACCATCATGGCTTGGACCGTTGCAAACCATGTATTTGCAGTGAAAACGTTTTTTTTAAGACTGATGAATCTCTAATTGCAATAGAGAACATTTTTCGTGCTCACTTCAGGTTGCAGTGGAATGGTGCATGCTGGAAAACCGATACTAATATAGAACGCCACCTGGAAGACCTCGAAGAACACCATCTAGAAGCTCTTGAAAAACGCCAACTGGAAGACCTCGAAGAATGCCACCCGGAAGCTCTTAAAAACACCAACTGGAAGAAATCGAAGAATGCCACTTGGAAGCTCTTAAAGAACACCACCTGGAAGAACTCGAAGAATGCCACCTGGACGTTCTTAAAGAACGCCACCTGGAAGAACTCGAAGAACGCCACCTGGAAGCTCTTAAAGAACGCCACCTGGAAGACCTCGAAGAATGCAACCTGGACGGTCTTAAAGAACGCCAATTGGAAGAACTCAAAGAACGCCACCTAAACGCTCTTAAAGAACGCCACCTGAAGAACTCGAAGAACGCCACCTGGAAGAACTCGAAGAACGCCGGCACCTGGAAGCTCTTAAAGAACGCCACCTGGAAGACCTCGAAGAACGCCACCTGGAAGGTCTTAAGAAACGCCACCTGGAAGAACTCGAAGAATGCCACCTGGACGCTCTTAAAGAACGCCACCTGGAAGAACTCGAAGAACGCCACTTGGACGTTCATAAAGAACGCCACCTGGAAGAACTCGAAGAACGCCACCTGGAAGATCTTAAAGAACGCCACCTGGAACATCACGAAGAATATCACCTGGACGCTCGCCAAAGAACGAAGACCACGCCTGGACGCTCTAAAGAACGCCACTCTCGAAGAACGCCACCTGGATGCTCTTGGAAGATGAACGCCACCTGGAAGAACTCGAAGAACGCCACCTGGACGCTCTTAAAGAACGCCACTTGGAAGACCTCGAAGAACGCCACCTGGATGCTCTTAAAGAACGCCACCTGGAAGATCTCGAAGAACGCCACCTGGAAGATCTCGGAGAATGCCACCTGGACGCTCTTAAAGAACGGCACCTGGAAGAACTTGAAGAACGCCACCTGGACGCTCTTAAAGAACGCCACCTGGAAGAACTCGAAGAACGCCACCTTGATGCTCTCAAAGAACGCCACCTGGTAGACCTCGAACAACACCACCTGGAAGCTCTTAAAGAATGCCACCAGGAAGATCTCGAAGAATGCCACCTGGAAGCTTTTATAGAACGCCACCTGGAAGATCTCGAAGAACGCCACCTGGAAGATCTCGGAGAATGCCACCTGGACGCTCTTAAAGAACGCCACCTGGAAGAACTCGAAGAACGCCACCTGGACGCTCTTAAAGAACGCCGCCTGGTAGACCTCAAAGAACACCACCTGGATGCTTTTAAAGAATACCACCTGGAAGATCTCGAAGAACGCAACCTGGAAGACCTCGAAGAATGCCACTTGGAAGCTTTTAAATAACACTACCTGGAAGTTCTCGAAGTATGCCACCTGGACGCACTTAAAGAACGCCACCTGGAAGAACTTGAAGAACGCCACCTGGACGCTCTTAAAGAACTCCACCTGGAAGAACTCGAAGAACGCCACCTGGAAGTCTTTAAGAACGCCACCTGGAAGCTCTTTAAGAAAACCACGTGGAAGATCTTCAAGATCTTGAACTTCCAGGTGATGGAAATCTTTAGAAATCCTCTGGAACAGTGTATTGCGAATAGAGGTTGCCATTTGCAGCATTCTATTTTTAAAATGAAATGAATAAAAACTATTGCTCTTTCTTTAAACAAGAGTGATTTTTTTTATAGAAGGTACTTTTGTCTTTTGAGATATTTCTGCCGCACACTGTACAATAATTATAGTGTATATTGTTTCTGAGATTGCTTGCTTATAAGGCCCTGTTCACGGGTCTCCAGTGGGCAGAGTCTGGCTAGAAATACTGTATGTTTCAGCAAAATCTTCCACGTTTTTAAATCCCTGTGTCATTGTAAATTCTATCTGAGCTTTCCTTTTCCATTTTCCTTTTCCATTCATATGAGGCGAGAAAGACGATACATCTGTTTTAGGAATTAAATAATTTCAGGCAAACCTTGCATGTTTGCATCTGCTATCTCTGCTGTAGGCTTTGTTCAAGTGAATGTATTAAAAGAGCAGTATACATTATAAGACTGAACATAGGTAATTGTTTCAGTGGGTCATTTATTTCTGTAAGTGCTTGATAACAGCCTATTCTGATAATAAATCCTGTGTACAGGAGATTATTTAACCGAAGTGTAATAATATAGCTGGAAAAATAGGTTATATTTCAGTAAACAGTTCTGCCCACGTAAACTCTCGGATGTAGTCCTGTAGCACTCTATATTCTGAGAAAAATATTTTCCGCATGTATGTTTTCTTAATACTAATAAACGATATATTTAATGGATATATATATTTGAGTTATCCCATATTTTTTTTATTTTCTTAAACAGTGAAATTAGTAACAACGGGCGTAGAAAAATTGTGCCTTTGAGAGGAATCGAACCTGTATTCCCTTGTTCCATTATTATATTGCTATAAATGTTAATTTTAGAGAGCACACATATTGGAGTTACTCTCCCTTTTATTTCTTATTTTCTTAAATTGAAATTAATTACAAGGGGGCCCTTTTTATTTCTTAAGAAAGATTTCTTAAACAAACCTGAAATTAATTATATTGCATAAACGCTAATTTTAGGCCTTTGATTACTCTCCATGTTAAAACAGTGAAATTAATTACTTCCTAGATTGAAAGAAAAGATTGTGCCTTTTTCATTTTTATATTGCTATGAGCTTTAATTTTAGTGAGCAAACATATTTGAATTACACTTCCAGTTATTTCTTATTTTCTTAAACAGTGAAATTAATTGCAAGGGGCCTAGATTAAGAAGTCCAGCCAAAGAAGAATCTGCCTTCTGATAGGATTCGAACCTAGACCGTAGAGATGGATGGTTTAATAAAAAACCCGATTTTTTTTGGTTTCATTTTCCCACCGTTGAACCGCACTGAATTTTTTTCAGAACACTAAATCGTTCGTTTTTTTTTTAAGTGCTATCACTACTGGGTGACCATATCGAAATAAACACTATTGAAAAAGACATTCAGATGTTGTTAATATTAAATGTTATCATATTTATACCATTGTAAGAGAAAAAGATTGAACAAAATTATCGTAAAAAACATTTAATTGACCAGTTTTAGGAAATAAATGTGAATCTATTTGTTTACAAAAGAAGTGAAGAAAAAAGGCGTGATGTCTGAAATCTATTTGTTTCAGTTTTCGAAAAAATAAAAAAAAACTTTTGTGGTTTAATTAAGTTACCAGCAAAATAGCCAGTAAAAAAAATAGTTGTCACTTTCGTCTTAATAGTAAATTTTATGAAGTCGGATTATTTGTAAGGATCATACATAATTGTTTTCTAAGCCAGTATACGCCAATCACGAAATAAAGTTGTAAACAATAAAAATGAATGAAGATCTGTTTTATGAATAAATTTGTCTTTTTATCTATGCACCTAAATTAGATATTGAGAATAATTAAGATAGTTCTTAATTTCACTTTTAAAATGTGTATATTTTCAAATATGCTAGTCTCTCTAGCGTAAGTAAAATTGTTTTCTACAAATAAAATTATGTTTCTATCTAGCGATTACACCTAAAATTAGATATAAAAAAAATGAAGTAAGTTTTAATCTCAGTTTTAAAATGTGCATATTTTCAAAACTGCAAGCAATTCTTTTAGTCTAAATTAAAAAATATTCGTTTTTAGACACTTGTTTTCGGTTGGCGTTTGGTAATATTCTGTCTATTAAACTTCTTCTAAATAAGGAAAATAAATTAATTTTATTTTTAAAAATATCTTTATGGTTTTATCTGGCGAATACACTTAATTAAGATTATATTAAAATGATTAAAATAGTTTTTAATTTAAGTTTTAAAATGTGTATTTAAAAAAGAACAGGTGATACGTAGATTTGAAAATATACACATTCTAAAAATGAAATTAAAAGCTTTTAAATTATTTTTGATATTTAATTTTAGATGTATTTAGATAAAAACATACATTTAATTAGGGGAAAAATAACTCATTGATTTTCCTTGTTTAGAAGAAATTTATTTGCAAAACCCCAATAACAGTTGACTGGCGTACCAGAAAAGAATTGCCGTATTTTTAATTATTTTAAACATGAGGGATTATACCATTTTCTCTTTCAAAAATATGTGATCCAAGGACACAAATATAGATATTTTATGCGACGATTTTTTTCCTATTTTACTAATTTATTAATAAATATAGTAGTTCTTTATTTAGTTTGTTAACAATTTATTCTAAAGTTTGATAATGAATTCTATGACTAAATTACCTTTACATCCTAAAAACTGACTTTAGGGATGAGCAATCTCTACTTTATTACCCACTCCGATTGGCGGTTTTTGAGTTTTCCATTCCATGTCTATAAATTTTTATTACCCTGGTTTAAAACCAAATATTGACCACTTACGCACCAGTCAACAGACTTCCACAATTACAGACGTTTCAAAAAACAACACTCGAAAGTCGAAAATTATATGGGGGGCATTTTATGCGACAAGACAGTAGTTTAAATAATTTCAAAGTTCTTTTACCACACATGCTATCAGTTAATCTTTTTTTTTTTTTTTTTTGCTGATTACTTTATAATTTTTGAAGGAATTCGCCATCACGGGTCATAAAAGAAATGAACATCTTCCTGGTTGTAGTTTAAGGTGTCTTCTAATTGAGTATACAATTTCAAGAATATTGCTAAAGATTGGTTACTTTGATTTTGCAAAACAATGTAACGTGTAAAATTTAGTCTCGAAAAATACCATATTTCGCATTTTTGGCTGTTCGAATGAAAATACCGTTTTAACTCGCTGTAAAGTAATAATTAAATGAATAAAATCACATAAAATTACATATTTAGAAAGATTATTTTATTTTATTTCCAACCATACAAATATTTTAAAGATTGGACCATAAATACACGTGAAATTGTGAGTTGAACGGACTAAATTGCAGATTTATTCAAAGGAAATCAGATATCGACTGGAAATGCTATCATTGCACAAGAAAATGAATGGCTTCCTTAGAAAGCAAAAATACTAAATTAAAAACTTAAAAACCGACTAACTCTACACGCCATTAAATATCAAGGAAACCACTTCTATAGCAGAAGCGTACTTATGCCAATTTGACTACGGGAGATTTCGATTTATCTATTTAAGGATTTAACTATTTTTAAATGGATTTATCGTTCGATATTATTTCTTATTCTAAGAAACATTATCTTTAGTTGTGATACGACATTTTGCGGCACTATTTACATTATTCGGACTATTGCCTCATCTTTGTCGCCATATTTATTACAATGTTTCGGCCGTTGTACGTTCCACCTTCTTCAGGTGGTTGGAATATCGAACTGAACCCTTTATTTCGCTCACTGGTGTAGACTGTTCTAGTTCCACGTGCCATGTTTAATGGATGTCAGTTATTAGTTATCTCCTGTTAATTTCCCTCTCCAAGTTCTCCACTGACTTAACCGGGTATTGAACTCGTACTCCTTGGGTCCTCTCACTGGATCTAACTAATGCCTTTATCCACTGCCATGTGTCCTTGAGGACATCTGTGTATGAATATCTGGGTATTACAAAGCTAATGTCTTCAGCAACCATTTTTACCAGTGCTCTTATTGCAACTTTTGCTGTTATCATTGCATGATTTTACTAGAGCTCATATTGCAATTTTTGTTGATATTATCGCTTTTCTCTGGGACTCCTTATTACTGGTTCCCATATTGTATTCATTTCTACTCTTGGTCGGCTCAGGAGATTTTTGTTGCCTAGCATATGTGCAGATTCCTTAAGTTTACGAATTTTCCAATGGTGTTCTTTGTCTATGATTTCAACTTGATCCCATAGAGGGCGGTGATCTCCCTTCTCTCTCCATATGTGGTCAGCCACGCCTGATTTTTCCACTTCCCCTCGTGTTACAGCTTTCTGGTGTTCTTGAAGCCTTACCTTATGACCATCAGAATGCTGGATATTAAAAAAAAAAATTTAAAAATGACTGATTATGTTTCGGGTACGAAACTAAAGCTAGCAGATTCAGATTCGAATAATTCCCTAATAGATTTGCTTGATTCAATTTCATATTTATGAAACACTCTAGGAAAATAGTCCCCGTGTCCAAATCGGAAACATTACGCTTTGGCCATAAGATGTCTCGATATAGGCGGGTTGTCATTAAAAACAAATGCTGAAATTGATTTTAAAAAATAGCAAACATTTTTTTTGGTGGAGTAATATTTTCAGATTAGATATTATTTTTTTCGATTTAGATAATTTTTTTTTTTTTTTTACGGCTCATCTACCTTTTGTAAATCTTTGTAAAGTCAGAATAATTTGAAAGTAAAATGTGAAGAAACGGTGTA